AATATCTAAGAAGATGATATAAGAGAACAAGAACACATAATTATTTTTTTTCTATATATAATTTATTAAGGGCAATGTCAGAAAACGGCCAAAAGGAATCATCATCATTCGAGTTCCACATATGCAGGTTGTCACCCTAATTCTCTATTACCTTAGTGGAACTTGTAGCTCGATAGTACCGGATGGCCTTACTGTTCGAATGTCATACCCAGTGTACCACGCCCATCAGACGAACACCGGCAGCTGCAAGTCAGTCGGGTGGCTCCAAACATATGAGTCGCAGCTGGAGATGAAATAAAAAGTTTTTTCAAGTTTCATATTATTGACTCATCATAGTTAATTGTATGACTTAGTCAATGTATACATTTGCCATGAATTTGTAGCTTGGATATACAAATTTATTAAACAAGAGTTCAAGTATATTATAAGATGCGTTAATATTTCAATTATTAATTATCACACACATTATAGTTACACTATAAGAAAACATAAGAAATTAGACGACGTTTCCGACAGATTTATGTCTTTGACGACATTAGAAGATAATTCCGATTGATTATAGACGACAACGAGATCGTCATAAATTCGTGGGTAATAAGACCCATCGGCTATCAGTAAGAAATACATAGCCATTATTATAGCCACTAATATAGCCTTTTGACTTTTTAATTTCTGTGGAAATTCCATCAGAAAAATCACCTAACCCACCTATAGATACTAGCTCTCTCACCTTAATTTATGAAACGGGTAAAAAAAACATAGATACAATGACAACTTCGAATGACGATCAATATTTTTGTGCGTGGATGGACAAACCTCTGGAGATCGAACAACACGCCTACATACGAATGAGTTGTATTTTTTATGTGGAGTTATACGGCACGAGTTAGCCGTGTTTCCTTAGTATATCATAAGAACAAAATTATTGCAAACACAGTTCGAAAATAAAACCCATAAAGTAACAAAGCCCAAACGAACATGTGAACAAAAAATGATCTACAAAATGCACTGCACCAAAACGATCTATAAAATAGGCGTTAATTCGTCTTCCCGCTATGTGGTAACAAAAAAATGCATGCTTCTCATCTCACCAAGATTGTGGACTATGCGGATTTCTAAGACTATTGCCCATCCTAATAAAATGCACGCTTCTCATCTTTTTTTTTTCAACATTAATAAGAAGAAGGTATTTTAGAATACCTCGTTTCAGCATTATACTCCCTTTATAAATTAATTTGAGAAAATACTTGTTTGGTTTGGTTTGGATACGGTGCAACTACTCGATCAGTGGATACTAAAGCACTGACCCATTCTTGTACCATTAGACCACGAGTAGTTGCATCATGCTTCTCATCTTCCTTCAGTATTTTGGCTAATGAATTAAATAAAATTTAATCTTTTTAAGTTTTGTAGACCACTAGGATTGGTAACTAAAACATAACTCTCTCTATTATTCGTACATATTTCAAAAATAGAAATCATTGTTAGATGTAAATTTGCGTTGTATCGCTAATACTAGCGAAGTGCAAAAGAATTTGCAAAATTTTGCGCTATTTTCCATATCGTCATGAATCTGTCAACATCATATAACAAGTGACCAAATATGTGCGTGGTTATCACGTGGAGTTAGTTTTATTGTGTTCCTAGAAGAAATGATGATTCCGGATCCACGAAGTTTAGGGTTGATGCCCGAAACTTCGAGGTTAAAAAAAAGAAAGACATATAACAAGAGCTCCATTTGTACTGTAACTTGACACTAGTTTTTTTCTTTCTAACTGATCATTTGGCTCATTTCTCTCAACTCTTTGCAGGATGATGGATTGGAACTCGTGGTCAAAGATATGTAGAGGTGACAAAGCCACTTGCACTAATAGATCCATAGTTTTACAGCCACTTTTTCTATATAATAGAAATATTGATAAATTATATTGACATATATTATCCAAACGAGAGACGACCAAAATAACCTTTCTTATAGGTAGAAACATAGCATCAAGTCTCATTACTGATCATATATGGATCAAAGCTGGTCTATCCTGGAATTACTTCTTTTTTAATCAGGACGACCAACTTTGTTCCACTATATCAAAAATAGAAACTTTAAATTTAACCAAAAACAAAAGAGATTAAAGAACTAATTAAGTCTCCACCTTCAGCATTTTATTTTTATTTTCTCTACCTACAAATCAGATAAATATACTCATATGCCTACGATTTGTTAAGTCCACGGCTAAGTTCCACCACCAAAACCAGGTGGCGCTGGCCAAAACCCACCACTAACACCGCTTCCTCCATCGCCACCATCTCCAGTGACATATGTCATGCATGATAATGGTACAAGACATAGCCCACGGCTTCTTAGATCCCTTGGCTCTTCCTCATCCCCTTCTTGTTGTAGTGAGCCCTAATCAAATTGAAATAAATAATTTTTGTGGACTTAAAACATTATCAGAGTAATTTTTACGTAAAAGAATTATAGGTTCTTTACCAGTTGGGAGGCTTTCCCGGGTCGGTTCCTAGCTGCTCTCATGTAAGGGACGCTTAGAGTCTGTCCACCAAACACCAAAGATTATAATTTTGAGTTAGAACTATATATATTTTTAATATGCTAAATATCTTATAAAAACACTATATGCATGACTATAAAATGATGACCATGAACAACTAATTATATGAACTATATCTTTATTGATGACTAAAACATCTAATCAAGTGATTTCTCTTAATAATATCGTTGGCTTCGTTGCATTATCTCATAATTTAAAACAGCATAATGCATGTTGTTTTAAAAA